GAAGGTTAATTATCTGAAGATGTTTGGGGAACAAAGGTGCTTGTACTGGATAAGAATCCCAGCAAAGACAAGCTCGCGCAAAGATCAGTGGAAGGTATATTTGTAGAATATCTAAGAGAGAAGAGAGGTTTTCACATATGAATATCGAGTTCCCGACAAATCGTAGATGCTCGTTAATGTAACGTCAAATTTGTTGAAGAAACTCGAAAGGTTTCGCACGATACAAGTGAGATTGACGAGTTGCTCACGTCAACCCAGAAGGCTAGAGAGATGGAAAAAAATACTCCAAGGTTTGCTGAGTTTTCACCGTCAAAGGAAATCGGAGTTGATCGAATGAACCGTCAGGTTATCTCAAAAATTAGGGTGGATCCTGAAGAAGAGGTACTAGTTAGAGCACGTTTGTTACGTACGGGAAGCAGAAGGCGACCAAGGAAATTGTTTCACTCAGCGCCCGCAACAGTAAATGATAATGAAGCTCCTGGTAATCAATATGAGACTGATCTTGAAGACGATGTTTTTGCTGGTATTGCTGAGGTCAACATGATAAATGCCTTGAATAGTGAAATGTGCGAGGAATGAAAAGATGTCATTGAGTGCAAGATGATAAGCTTGATGAAGAACGACACGTGGGAAATTATGAAGGACAACAAGAGCAGTAACGTCGTTAGATGTCGTTTGATGCTGACTAATAAGCACAATTCTGATGGTGAAGTGATGAAGATGCAAGGCTAAGTTAATTATAGAAAGATATAGCCAGAAGTATGGTATCAACTACCATCAAACGTATGCTCCTGTAGCGCGACAGGATATGTTGAGACTATTGTTGGCTCTCGCAATGAGATATGAATTCAAGATTTGGCAGTTCGATATTGTGACAGCATATTTAAATGACGTACTCGAAGATGAGATATACATGAAAGTGCCTCAAATGCTGAATGAGATGTTAGAGAAAATTCTTAGCAAGTAAGGTTTAACCTCAGAAGTTGGAATCAAAGACAAGAAGATGCTGGAGAATCTGCTCAATGATGACAATTTATGCAGGTTAAAGAAGGTCCTGTATAGTTTAAAACAAGCTGATCGTCAGTGGTATTCGAGATTGCGTGAGAAGTTAGTAAGCTTGGGATTGAAGGCAGCAAAGAATGAGCCATGTTTTATGATGATGCAGGTGATGATAGAGTGCTACTAATATTAATATATGTTGATGACATATTACTGACATCGTAAGAGACAAAGTACATCATGGATCTAAAGACTACTCGAAGACTTTGAAATCAAAGATATTGGTCGAGGAAAATATTGTCTTAGTCTGCACTAGAGGCGTGCAAATCTGCTCTCACTTCCGCTCGTTCCCGACAGCGAGACTGGATTCTCGAGAGTTAGATTATCGGGAGCGCTGTTATCGAGAATAGAGGCTCGGGAACGAGTGAATCCCGAGTCCCGATGCTCTATTAGATGGAATGGGGGCAGGAGTGAGAGCAGATTTGCACGTCTCTAGTCTGCAAATAGATCAAGGTGAGAGAAAAATTGAGCTTTCTCAAACAGGATACATTCTAGAGCTGCTTGAGCAATATGGTATGAAGAATTGTACAGTTGTGACTCCTTTGGAAGTGAATGTGCAGTTTGATGATGCGAGTAATTCTGGAGAGTTAATGAATTATCCGTATCGCGAACTGATTGGTGCCCTTATGTATTTGTCCATGGCTTCGCGTCCAGACATCGCTAACATTATGTCAAGGTTAACACAATTCACGAGTAAACCGCGTAAATGTCATTGGATTGCCGCGAAGAGTGTCCTGAGATATCTCGCCGGAACAACTGAGATAGGTCTAGTGTACTCAAGGACTAATGATCTGTTGTTTGGATATGCCGATGCCAACCTGAGGTGGATTTATCCTTAGACCGTCGTTCGTATACGGGATACATATTTCTATTCAGTGGGGCAGCGATTACCTGGAAAACGCAGAAACAAGGGACTGTGACCTTATCCTCGACGGAAGCAGAGTACATCAGTTTGGCGAAAGCTGCCAAGGAAGCTTTATATTTACGCAGTTTGTTGCACGAGCTTGGACTTTGTAAGTGTACTGAAATTTATATAGATAATCATGAAGCTCGGTGCTTGACTAATGACCCCATTTTTCATGCACGAAGCACATTAAGTTACATTTTGTCCGCGAATCAATAAGTGCTGAAAAATTAGCGAAAATTAGAACATGTGCCCACAGAGGACATGGTGGCGGACAAATTAACGAAACTATTGGTTGGGGCTGGCCATGAGAAGTGCCTAAAAGGATTTAGTTTCGGTATGGGAGTGTGATGTATGCGCAATATGCGGCTTGAAAGGGCGTGTTAGAAATAGAATATTTTCAACCTGACAATCCGCACGTCTATACATACATTGTGTTTTGATCGTTTGAAGGAGACGAGATGTATTAAGAGTTTCATTTTTGCTGGCTCTCGCGTCCAATATAATGGAAACTTTCTATGTGAGCGGTCGTTCAATCGTCACGTTATTATCATTCGATATAAGCGTATTGTATAATATCTGTTGCTTTAATACAAATTATTTGTATTATGTTTCCGTTACGTTAAGCTTCTCATACGTGTTACTCCAATAATATCAATAATTACAATTAACCAAGTACTTAAAAGCAATTCGTGAGCAATTTGTAAATAATTTGAAATAATATTTATCATGAAATCAATCTTATTGTAGAAATATTATACATAAGTTCTAACAAATTAAAACGCATTTTATTTTTATTTAGAGAACCTTGATTTTTAAAATATTTAGAATCAACATTAAATGGTGATTAGGATTCCTTTAATGCCTAAAACATTTTTTATATAATCTATATAATTAAAAAAAAATGTTTCATGCAAATTTTAAATCGCAGTCTTCAAATTGAAGTAAGATGAAAACTTGGCGTATCCGGATCATTTACATTACAAATAAATATATACCCAATAAAATTTTTAAATCTTAACCTTTATGTAATTAAATGTTTCTGTGTTTGATCTCGAGTCGGGTATGCCAAGTTTTTATAACTTAATTTGAAGACTGTACGATTTAAAACTTATGTAAAACGTTTTTTAATTATATGCATCATATAAAAATATTTTAGAAATTAAACAAATCCTAATTTTCATTTAGTGTCGATTCTAAATATTTTCTAAATATTTTACAAATCAAATTTCTTTGAATAAAAATAAAATGCGTTTTAATTTCTTAGAATTTATGTATAATATTTCTACAATGTAAGATTGATTTCATGACAAATATTATTTCAAATTTACAAATTGCGCACGAATTGCTTTTACGTATTTGATTAATTATTGATATTTAGTTTCGACATTTTATTTTTTTTCGTATTCTTTTAGGAAAATTATTTTTTGAGGTTTTATTTTTTTTAAATGATTCTTTTAGTGAAAATTACTGTAGCTTACTTTTAAGGACTTTTTTTTATTAAACATTTTGTTACATACAAGGTAAAATATTTTTTGTGTACTTGGCATATTTTTTCTTATCTTTGTAAAGATTTTTTTTAGAGTTAGCGTGATTCAAGATGATCACCTCTCTCTCTCTCTCTCTCTCTCTCTCTCTCTCTCTCTCTCTCTCTCTCTCTCTCTCTCTCTCTCTCTCTCTCTCTTAACAATAAACAAGTAAAATATACAGGGAAAATTTAACCGACAAATTTTTAGAGATTCTCGGGGGCACCATAAGAATCATCTTTTGCAAATAAACTTGGGGTTGGAAACGTGTCATTACATCGCTACAGCATACGGAATGTTGCATATACAATAAAAAGTGGAGGGTTCCATTTCAAAAATTCAAGGTTGCCTTGTCGTAACCTTGGCGACACCTTCCAAGGTCAAACACATGTCAGTAAATAGACCTTTTTACACCCTATAACTTTTGTTTGAAACAATTTTTTTTAAAACTTCTATTTTTTGTGATATTTCAAGGTCCCCTTAATACTTTTATGTACAAAATAATGAGAGGAATCAATTGGTGTAAAGAAAACACATAGTTGTTTCTAAGAAAAAATATGTAATTTGCAATTAACAATTACATATTTTTTCTTAAAAACAACTGTATGTTTTCTTTACACCAATTGATTCCTCTCATTATTTTGTACATAAAAGTAATAATATAAGATCGAATCGAAAAATGAATATTTTATTAGATATTTTATGATTTATGTAAAATTAAGAAATGATTTCAAGCCTTATAACTTAAAAAGTACTTAACGAAAAGGTACTTAATTATAGTGTTTTGGAAAGCTCTCGAGATAAGCTACAAGAATATGTAAAGAGAAAATGTAGGTTCCATTTTAGAAATTGAAGGTGACTTTCATGTGACCTTCAAATAACTCTTCAAGGTCAAACCAATGGTACCATCTTATGTCCCCCTTGAAACCATACAACTTTTGTCTGAACAATTTTTTTGTATTCGGCTTACCAACGGAGATATTCAGGTGCATCGATTAAAATGGCCCACCGTGTGTATATATATATATATATATATATATATATATATATATATATATATAAAACTCATTTTTGCTTAAAAAATTATTCAGATTCAATCCACATACTAGAGTACAAATTGAGTGAATACAATAAGCATGAAAATTAATGTTGTTTTTGCTGTGATTTTATATTTTTATTCGTGCATGAGTTTTCATTATTCCTGTATGCTTTTCGTTTGTTTATATTAATAATATGTTTTTATTAATTTCACAGACGTGCATGGGTCTTACATAAAAATGAAATAAACTCATAAATAATTAAGTATATAACTGGAAAATAGAGAAAAAGAGCTATCGTCCAGCACCTAATCTAAAACTTCGTCCTTGTTAACATTCCATAACAGTACCTTTCTTCTTTTCTTTAAATATTGTTATCCGTTCAACATTGATCCTTCATTAATAATATGTTTATTATTCTATTATTAAAAAAATGAATTTGAATTTCAAATTGTTCAATTTTATATTTCATAGTGCCTCCCAAAAGCAGCCATTGGAAATTCTTCATAAAATCTGCTGAAGGCGGGAAATGTAAAATTTGCCACCAGATTGTGAAAACTGCGGGAAATACAACGAATTTGCGCATTCACACACACACACACATCTTACACTTTCACATCCTGACATTCTTGACATGCAGCTTAAGAAGGACAATATCGCTTCTGAAGATGAAGTACAAGCAGCAACAACATCAAAAAGAAGAAAAATTACAGTAATAATATTTATATAAAAGATGATTCAAATTTTTACATATATACAATGATGTGTTGAATCAGATCAATTCCTTCTCTAATAGTAGAACTAGATGTATTATTACATTCATTAATTAAATTGAAATTTTATATAATTTGTTCGATGTCTTGTGATTATGAAATTAAATAATATTTTACAATATTATTTTACAATATTTTACAATATTTTACAATACATTGTTTCTTTGTTATATTGATAGTCTCAAGAACATACTGAAACGGACGACAAATTCGATTTCGTAGAGCAACTTCTATCTCCTACTTTTTCGATATTATCGAGCACGTCAATACATTCAGAGGTATCAGTATCTTCCTGTGTGTCAATTCCAAAGACCATTAAATCTATTAAAGACGAAGCAATCTAGGATTGACATAGCTTTTCAGAAACAGAAATCATTTAAAGGTATGTATATTTTTATTGGTGGGATTTGCTGAAGATATATACATTTCACAAATCAGAATAAAGTTCACTAAACTTAAATTAGTTTTATTTATTTTGATTGGCAATATTTCATTTCAATCTCAATTCTAATCGTAGTTTGATCGGGCATAACGATTTTAATTATGAATTTTTATTTCTATTCTAAACGGAGGATCGAAGGCTTCTGATATTACTAATAAACTCCTCTACATAATTGCTAAGAACAATTTGCTATATTGTACAGTGGAAAAAGAAGGCTTTCGAACATTTATGCGAACTGTCTTACCATTGTACAAAATCCCTTGTAAAACAGTAATAACGACTCTTATCGAAGAAAAATTCGAATTTTTATCAGATATGATAAAAACTCGTCTTTCAAAAATTCGGTATTTATCGCTCACAACAGATATATGGACGGACCAGCTGAACACCATAAGCTTTTTGGGCGTATCCGCTCATTATCTATGTAACGAACAGCATAAATCTGTCACAATCAGTGTGACCCAATTGACAGAGAAACACACAGCCGAAAATATTGAAAATTGCAGATTATCACAAACTGGCGGATAAATAAAGAAAATATACGATACACGAGAAAAGAGCGATTAAGAGCCATCGCGAATGATAGTGCGTAAAATTTTATTACAAGTTAATTATTCGCGAAAATTAAAACGTGCACAAGCCATATACATATATTTTACTTGGTGCATTTACCAATATATAGATTCTCATTTTTGAGAATTTTATAAAAACCCCTCTTTACTCCCCTGAAGAGATGTAGACGAGAAATTTTACGCGGAGCTAACCGCGTTCTCATTATTTCAACAAATGGACGAGAGAAGTATTGGTGTGGGGCTGAATAGCTCAATGGTAAGAGCAGTCGCCCGGCAAGCGAAAGACTCGATTCCCGATTCAGCGACTTCGCCCCGATATTTTTCTCGTCTACATCTCTTCAGGGGAGTAAAAAGGGGTTTTTATAGAATTCTCAAAAATAAGAATCTATATCTTAAATGGTAAATGCACCAAGTAAAATATATGCATATGCCTTGTGCACGTTCTAATTTTCGTGAATAATTAATCTTTAATAAAATTTTACGCACTACCATTCGCGATGGCTCTTAATCGCTCTTTTCTCGTGTATCGTGTTGTTTAATACATAACAGAGCTTAATTCTTTATCAATTTATTAATTTAAGAAAAATATAGTCGCTGATAACGCAGTTAATATGAAAAAAGCGATCACGGATGCATTTAGCGCTGAAAAATATTTGTCATGTTTCTCATACACATTCTCATACACTAAATTTAGTACCGGGAAATATTACCAAAAATGATGCTATTGTGAATTCATTGTGCAAAAAAATCAAAACAATCGTAATATATTTCAAACATTCAGTGCCGACTGCAGATGAATTACGGAAACAATCAGCTCTCAAACTGATCCAGAACGTAGATACACGATGGAATTCAACAAAGAAAATGCTTGATCGATTTATTGAATTGGCTGATAAAATCAGTCAGATTTTATTACAATCACCGTCAGCACCACCGATGCTAAATGCTTTGGAATTGCAGACAGCAAAAGAATTCGGCGAATTATTAAAAGCATTCGAAGATGCGACACAAATTATATGTGGCGAAATTTCTCACTGCAAGTAAAATTATATCTATTGTAAATACCATAAAAAACAAATTTAATAGTTCAAACCCGAATACAGATATAGGTATCCATTTTAAACAAGAATTAACGAAGCAGTTTTTGAAACGATTTGATACTATAGAAAAGATTAGCCTTTAGTTATAGCCATTATTTGCGATGTACGATTCAAAAATATCCACTTTTCTAGAATTGCGTGTTCTCACGCTATAAACAAAATCACAAGAATGATTAATGCAAATATACTTCAATCAAATGATCAAAATGTGCGTGCTGGATCGTCCACTGTAAAACGGGATGACTTTTGGGCATTTCATTCAGATTTGAGAATCTTGTGACTGACAATCAATCGAGATGGATTATTAATCATGGCGATGATGCCTGATGATCTCCGATATTATCTGAACCAAGCACTGATTACTCTGGAAGAGATTCCACTAAAATACTGGAGCATGCACCCATATTCGGTCCTGCAAAATATAGCAACGAAGTACTTAAGTATTATCGATACTTCCGTCCCCAGCGAACGATTTTCAAAAGCTGAAAATATAATGACTGAGAATAGAAGTAGAATAACAGGTGATCATTTGCAATATTTATTTTCACATTCACTCTCGGTAAAAGATTGGTTAATATAAGATATGATTAACAATCCTTCTCGATTGATTGTTAGTCACATTGTTAGATTTTCAGTCACAGATAAGACCTCACTTTTATGTAATAATAAATAAAAAATATGTTAATTGTATATGAAATCTTTAAAAAATAAAAACCTAAAAAACAAAATAAAAATCTCTACAATAAAAACTTTTAAGTAAATTTTTTTATGTGCCGGCTCTAAGACTTCCACAACTTACTTTAATCAAAGTTTAATTCGTTAAAACTAATCAGAATTAGTTCATACGAGTTAAACTCTGGTTGAAGTAAGTTGTGGAACCGGGCCTAAAAGCATTCGAAGATGCGTTCGATATTTTCTATATCGATACGCCATGGTCGATATTCTTAGTATATCGATACTTTATTCTACGATATGTATCGATATGATATATCGATTCTTTTCTATCAATACGACATCCCTAGTGCTCGGAATTAGTTGCCCTTTTCAGGCCGATATCTGAGGCGACGCTTACGATCTTCCCACTACCGTCCCAGGCTCGACGGCCGAATCGTCAAACGTGCACGTAATTCTATACCTCAGGAACATCCACCAAGTTGTTTCGCCAAATCGTCATTAAAATTTTCTTTGGTAAATAATTTTTCTTTTTATAATAATTAAATATAAAAATTTTTATTATTATAATATATTATATATGTACAATTTGTTATACATACATCTTATACATACACGTATGTTATAATATTTTAAACTTTAAAATATATTATTATAATATACGTGTATGTATAATATGTATGTATAACAAATTGTACATATATTAGGTTGGCCAATAAGTCCGTGCGGTTTTTTTATATGTAAATGATGGATAATTTTTACATAGATGGCAATACCTTTAATCAATAATGTATTGGCCCTTTTAATCTACTATGTTTTGCCATCTTTCAAGTAGCTTCATAATTTCTCGCTCGTAGAACTTCTGTCTTTTTCGTCGAAAAACTGTTTTAAGTGCCGTTTGATGTTTTCTTCGGAAGTGAAGCGCCATCCATTCAAGGAATTTTGTAGGGAGCGAAACAGATGATAATCCGAAGGAACAAGGTCTAGAAAATATGGAGGATATGGTATGATATCCCAGCCCAGCTCCAATAATTTTTGCCATGTTTGAAAAGACGTGTGCGGTCTGGCGTTGTTGTGATGGAAAACAACGTCTTTACGATTCACCAATTCTGGACGTTTCTTGTGAATCGCTGCATTTAATTTGTCCAACTGGCCACAGTACACATCTGAATTAATCGATTAACGTCTTCACTTTGTCTTGATTAATCTCAACTGGTCGGCTCGATCGTGGTGCGTCTTGGATAGAAAAATTTCCGGAACGAAAAAAAAAACATTTCTGGCACACACGTTCTTTCACGACATCCTTATCATATACCGCACATATCTTTTTAGATGATTATGCCGCGTTTTTGCCTTTGTTAAAATAAAACAACATAATATGGCGAAAATGCTCGTTTTTTTTATCCATTTTTCGAATTATGTTAAAAATAAAACACAAGTGATTTTTACGTTTTTTTTTAAATGCACGTTGAAATATCATCTATCGAACGAAATGCGCGCTTTCACGATTTGAATTGAATATAGTTGTTTTTCAGAACATTAGAGCTATCTATCGGCAAAAACCGCACGGACTTATTGGCCAACCCAATATATAATAATATATCATAATAATAAAAATTTTTATATTTAATTATTTATAAAAAGAAAAATTATTTACCAAAGAAAATTTTAATGACAATTTGGCGAAACAGCTTGGCGGACGTTCCTGAAGCATAACGTTATGTGCGCGATTCGGCGGTTCGGCCGTCGAGCCTCGGACGGTAGTGGGGAGGTCGTAGGCGTTGCCTCAGATATCGGCCTGAAAACTACTACTACTAATTTCGAGTACTGCTATAAAAATTTTAGTCTGCGCTCATTATTTATTAATAAGTTATTAACAAAAAGAGTTTAATGAACATAATTTTACATCACACAACGGTTATATAACGTAATTCAAACTAAATTTCAGCTTTAAATAAAAAATAAGTTTAATTCAGATCAGATTTAAGTCAGATTATATCTTCCAAAAGTGGAGCTTCCTCGTAAAAGAGCGAACCCACTGTCTCAACGCATGTACTTTACAAAACGAAGTTTACTTTTAATGAGGATAAAAGTTAGATGCGAACTTCACTTCGAAGTTAGAGCAAACTTCACTTCATCTTGCAAAGTACATACATGAATATAGTGGATTCCGCTTCCTTTACGGGGGAAGAGAGGTTTTACTTCCAAAAGATATAATCTAACCACAAACATACTAATTTGAAACTAAAATTTGATTTAAATCAGAAATAGGTTTGGGTTAGGTCAGATTATCTTTCAGAACTGAAGTTCTATGTAATGAGGGAGTTTGTGGAGTTCTTTGAAGGAGGGAGCGGAACCCACCGTATTCACACATGTACTTTATAAGATGAAATGAAGTTTATATTTAGCTAGAGTTAAAATTACGTTTAGAGTAAAATTACTTCGTTTCGTTTTATACATGCGTGGACATAGTGGGTTACGCACTTTCCCTCCTCTTCCAGGAAGAAACTTCACTTCCAGAAAATATAACCTAATCCAAACCTATTAAAAAAAAATTTAAACCAAATTTTACTTACTTCTGACTTTGTCT